TGTTCTGCCATGCTCTGGCTATACGACTCGCAGTGGTAGGCTACAACTATATAGACCTATTTGTTCCAGCGCTGATCGATAATCATCGATCAAGGCCAGAACTTATCCACCCCTTTGCATCTGCTATCGACACAGAGCTCCCCGTTCCCGAGAAATTGGTAAGCCTCTCCTTGATTCCTAGTCGGAATACTTCAATCAGCGGATAGGTTTGCCTCAAGTTGGACTCGAAGCCCGAGTACGTTAGGTTGCCCGAAGGCCCTCGGGACGAATACGAAGATTACGGTCCCCTGTCTCTCGAGCTGTGGCACAAGACAAACAAGGTATTCGTCCAATAGTCACGCCCTGGTGGCAACAGTCGCCACTATCAAATGCGTCACCACATGTATACACATTGTACTTTCCTATCGAAGCCCATCGTCGCCACTCTACCTTCACACTTATCGTAAAATTCGGGAAAATCATAAGTGCGAGTTCCGTCATGAAATGCCCTGGCTCTCCCTGCTGAAAACGAGTACATGGCGAGACCTCCAGTATTGTTCACAGACTAACCAACTGGAACACAATTACACCCAACCACCGTTCAGCAAGGAGAACACCTTATTGTTCTCTTGTTGCGGTGCTGCGTCCTCGTTCCCCGCGATGGTATGAGTCTGTAACTTGGTTCACATTCCCACTCCAATAGCAATAGGGCAATTACCAGAAAAGGATATGGACGCGCAATCCGTTTCCAACCCTGAAGGGTGTTCAATGTTCAGAGCATTTCGAAAAAATGATGATGGAGGTTTTTGCTCTTTCCTTCTCGGTTCGAGTTCTCTAACTACACTTGATCTTCCACGGTACGTCCATGGGATCCAAGGAACAAAACTTTCCAATATGAAGGAACAAGGGCAAAATACAGGGGTGAGCTTTCCTCCATTGCGGCTGGCTCTTCCTTGGCCTTTCGTGATTCGCCACTCCTCGGAATCGAAGACCTACCAGAGGGAGATATTGACATACGATAGACAACATACCCCTCCCCCATCAGATTTCGAAGGCTCAGTATGTTTTCTCTGTTTTACATTTCCTTATAAGGTATACCGTAGGGTGTATGTTTTGAGTTGGCGACGTCACTCTCATCCTGCTGGGTACTGTTCGAATTTTTGGAAGCAAAGTAAGGAAGTGATGATCATGAACTTGTCCAGGATTCGAAAGAAGTGAGAATAAATAAAAAAAGAAATAGAATATACGAGAATTTTAAACCCAGCGAGCCCTGGTGACGATATTCGGATATTGGTTCTTGATTTTGGATGGACGGATTATGTTTCTCGCCGGTCGTTGACGTTCTTCGGCAGCGCCTTGAACGAGTGCCTCACTTCCAACTTGAACTTCCAAGAGGTCTCGTTATACGTACCAAGGTATTGCATCATTCCGTTAGGATTCTTCGATCTCCTCTGACCTGTTGACTAACTCTCCGCGTTCTCAGCCTCCAACGCGTCCCCATTTGTGCCATAGAGGATTTATGGTATCCTGTATCCGTATCTTTGTACAGACGTCAGTCCATTTAGCGATGACATCGATGTGATGTGGAACGTAGCCCTTCCAGTGTCAATGTCAGGATGTGGGATCGTCTTGATTTGATTGGTGGCGCTTAGAAGGGTGCCGAAGTGGGAGGGATAACTGTGGGATGATGTAGCTGGGAAACACAGCTGACAGATACTCAACACGATTGGCTGGCAGTTGTATGTTCAATGTTCAGGTTCTCGAGTACAACATCAACCTGACCCCCAGTAAGCTTCGCATCGCCCGGGTCGCATCCTTCTTTGCTTCTTCGCCTATCATATCAATGACACTACAAACCCATGGCGCTGAAGACGTCAACGAGACATACGCAGGTCAGCGATGATCTTTTGTGTCTACCACTTGACGGGTTTGGGACCACGGTTGTGTTTCGTTGCCACCGCCGTCCGTCCGTCCGTCAGTTTGTCGTGTTCCGTCGGGACTTGTGACTTAGTAGTCCCGTTAATTCTCATTCTAGTGTCAACATCGTCGAATACGACACACGACGAACAAAAGGGGAAGGTTGAAGCTTTGAAGTCTGACAGAGTCCGACTAGGACGTATGGAGTACCAAAGTCGGACGCAGAAGGAATGGAGTGCTATGGAATGGTGAAGAGGCCAACTTTTGACAAGTTCCGTCGTCTAGAAGCCATTTCTGAGAATTTAAATCGACATACATACGGACATATGTTAAAGTTTTGCGTTGGCGAGCTGGATTCTCAGAGGTCCACAATCACGGCTTGGATCTGGTACAAGCGGGGAAGTACAGTAAGGCGATGAGAGGGTGCTATAAAATTGACGCTTACAGCTAACCGCTTGTAAGCTTTTACGGCTTTCTGGATTGAACATTCAAGTTTCAGTTGGTTGGACTATTCCCAAGTTGTTAACGACCGAGTGCATACACCACAGAGTTCTGGAATTTGATGCCTTCAATCCAAAAATGAATTGCACGCCAGGCATATGGAATTGGTGTTTTACCCGACTCGATCCTGGTGTACAGCACGGGCTCGTGAGGGAACCGATGACGTTTGACAACAATTGTCTTTTCCTCATGACCCGGAGTAGGTTCAGGAGATCGACAAAGATTGGGAAAATAAGCAGAAATATGACGTGATATTCATCAGGGAAAATTTTAAACTAAAGACCTACGTACGTTTCAGACTAAAACAGGTCAACACGGGTTTGTAGAAGAAATAATTGACCAATAGCGGACCTTTGGAAACAAAAACAATGTTGATAACGGCAGGCCAAAACAACAACCACAAAAAACGAACCAATGAATTGAATGCGCATTGACAAAAGAGACCCGCATTGTGGGTTAGCCTTCCCGTGGGGACCGCCCACGTACGGAGAGTTCGGGTTACCAGCACTGAGTATCCAAAATAGAGAATATTATACAGATCTTCTTCGCGGAAGACAGAAAGAGTTAGGAGTACTTACATGTCCGAAATATCCGAATTGCTATTGGTCTTGCTTTTGAATTTCACCGTCGCAACTTATTTTTCTAGAAAACGTGAATCGCCTCGAGAGGGAACCGGTTACTACTAAACCAACCGGAGAAGTAATTGTTAACCCAAAGGTCTCCGTAACCGCAAAAGCCTTGAGGAGGCGGTGAGGGCGGATGCTTAATAGAGAGAAACAAAAGGCGGGCTTGTGATGAGCGAAAATGCGGAGTATTGCGGTGGTATACAACAGCCTCTATTGATTAGGTTAAGGAGATCTATGGCGGTCAACAAGTCCATTAAAGGTTGTAAAGATAGAGTATATTCTAAGAATATCCTTGAACGCCGAAGAAAATTAGCACGAGATCCCGGCATGGACGTGAATCTAACTCACCAGGCCCAGAGGGTCCTCAATTGGCCGCCATGGTCTACGAGCTTTGCTCCCGTTCACCCATTTGTGTCTTTAACACCTTCGAGTTCAATAATTTAGCATAGCGAGGTTGAACAAATGTTGCACTGAACGAAAACCGAGGACGCGTTAGTACTTCATTCGAACCGGGGCGGGACGGGTAGAGACTGACGTAGCTTCGACCAGTAGTGTGCCTTTCAAATCTTCAACTCGTCCCGAAACTTGTGATCGTCTCCCTTCCGCTCCTTCGAGTTTGACTTTAATGACTACGAACTGAGTAGATTGGAATCAATCTCAACGTTAAAGAGCTCCAAGGGGCTAGGAGAATGGAACGAACCTGATCTGCAATTGTTGGAGCACGATAGTTTATTGAAAGTTTCGCTGTGACGCCGACTTTATCCGGGAGATTCATAATGGCCTAGATGGAGAACGGCGGTGTCAGAGAACCACGCATATATGAGCCAAAAATACACCACGACTTACGACACGAGCTAAGCTTTCATCCAAGAGCGTCGCCAACAGCCCGCCGTGCACGATACCATCATGTCCACACAAACCCCTTCCAAGATGAACGAAAACCAACGCCTCTGTTTCATCATTTCGTGCACGGACCAAAGGTGGTATAGCGAGTTTTCCTGGACCACGAAGTGCTCCAGAAGTTAAGTTGTTCACTCTTCTCTCCTCAGGGAACTTGAGATACGGCCGTGTTTCATACCAGTCCGCGGCCTCTGGTTGAGAACGGTGATGCTCTAAGATAGGAAGGGCAAGCATAGATTTCTCGAGAGCTTGTGTATATGCTTTTGATTCAGCAGAATCCGGGTCAGAGGGAGGTGCTGGCGCTGCCCGAGGAAAGAGGATAGTCAAGGGCAATGGGGGATATATAGAACCCAGAGTATATGCGCCCAATCCAAGAACTGTGGCCGCTGTGAATTTGGCAAATGTTCCCCAGCCACTACGGGGGACCTCAGCGTTGGTTGCTAGAGATCGAGTTTGATGACGAGCGGCATGACGAAGACGATTGGGAAGTGACGTGGAAGGAAGTCGTCGGTTTAGAGCAAGCAAACGTAGAGATGTGGACATAGTTTAGAGAGAGGTCGTCTGTGGGTATAGAAAAGAGTCTATGGAAGGGTATATGGTGAGCTCGTTGTGGTCAGTGATGAGCAGTGCTTGACTTTGTTGAGTTTGCTGCTGGCGGCGATGTCCGGCAGTCGGCAGTGATTATTGCCGGTTGCCGGTTCGAGCTCCCGAGAAGCTGACTGAAGGAAGCCGAACAAACGACAAGGACGACGCATCTCATCGGGTGTTGATTATCGTCGTAACAGCCGGTGTTTCCTGCACCACGCAATTTACAACTCTCAGAACATGCCAACTACGAGTAAACTAGCTATAGGATGGGGACCCTGGGGATGTCTACCGCCCTTGCCCGGCCTGCTGAGAGAAAACAAAACATTGTAAATAGAAGAAGCCTTGACGATTACCGCTTCTGCTCTACGCATAGGAACAGCTCAAGTGGGGGAGGAGGATGACGATCGTCAAGCGATAATTCCATCGCGAAGAGCTGTGTAGCTTGATCGATATCGGGTGAAATTGTCTTGATGGTGGATCGATAAGCAAGGGCGTTTAGCGCAGTGGTAGCGCGTATGCTTTGCACTCCGTTTCGGCGCGCAACCAATTCTTCATTGGGTTGGAAAGATGTATAAGGTCCAGGGTTCAATCCCCTGAACGTCCATCACATTTTTGGCCATTTCTGTTTTATTTTTTATCATGTCTCGGTACAATATCCTCATGCAAGGGTTGTCAATGCATCGTCTAAGTAAGTGGAAAGTTATGTTTGGACTTGCTTTATGTGTATATGCGGGTCTGTTATCGGTTCTCATTCAAATGAGAGATATAGCACAGAGGGGATGAATTGAAACCTGGAATGTATATGATAGAGGCGCGTCTTTGAGTTGCAAACGTAATTATAAGTGCTCAACCAGGAACTAGAAACAAAACTGATGGTGCGTGCAGACCAAAACCACAGAACGAACCAAAATTCATTCATAGTTTTCCGGATTTAGCACTATCACCTCACACCCACGCTTTTCCTAATCCTCCGATGTCGAAGGAGCAATATTAGATGCCTTGAACCGAGTTATCCGCACGTTCGCTAAAGGCAACTGACCTCGTAGTCGCGATTCGACGAAAGCCGCAAGGATGGACTCGTCTAAATATTCTTCTCCTCGCCAATCGCCTAGAATGAGGGTGACCAACCGAGGTAATCTAGCTGATGATTGGTGCGCGTCATCTTGAACGATCAACTGGCTGACGAATTCAGTCTTGAGACAGCTGCACTGGTGCAAGACGAGCTCTGTCAAGGAAGGAATGCATGAGAGGAGGTCTAAGAGTGGCGAATGACTGAGGATTAGTGTTCAAAATGCGGAGTGAAGTCAACACAAAAGGTGATCGTTGATAAAGATTCAATAAGGACTCCGCTGTCCCACAATTTTCCGACCTTGACCACCCCTTGAGCTCGAATTCTTGGAGTGCTGGTAGACGGAGGAAATCTGTCAAACGGGAGCAAATGGCAGGACAATCTGCGATTTCGAGTCTTTTGAGGTGCGGGTGTACGCCATGGAATGTGGTACTGAAGTCAGAAGCCCGAGGAGGCCAATCACGGAGTCCAATAACCGTAAGTTCGACAAGGTTGAGAGCAGCGAAGATAATTTGGGGTATTCCATCTGTCGATCTTCAATTGTAAGGCTGGACAGTTTTTCTCAAGGGAGCAATCGCCTCATTGAAAGGTCCAATACGTAGACTGACTGTAGAACGACGGTGATCAAATTGACGGCCTCTGGGAACGGTCTCTCAGCGACATCGACGTCGCGAGGGCCCGTTCGATCAACAGAAAGCTCTTGAAGCATCGGGAGAGGAGGAAGTACGTCCCAGAGCTTCCATAGCTCTATGTGGTTGCATTTCAATGACAAGAATCGTATTCTTGTCGAGACAGACGTAAAGATGGGCTGTAATAGGGATGCGAGTCTAAGTGAACGAAGTCGCTGAGGAATGTGAATCCACAAATCGATGGGAAGGCCACCTGAACGAGATAGCCATATCTGAGCGCGAAGAACAATCTTATCGAGCTTCTCATCGATCCGTCTGTCGTTCTGTATCTGCAAGAGGTAGTCCGAATAGAATCTGGGTGTGGCTTGTATGATGGACTTCCAAGCTTCGCAAACGGTGCAAAGGAGGTCGACTCTTTCCTGTGCACGTCGACCATAAGCAGTGTAGCCACAGGAAAATAGCAAGATCCTGGACATGATCTCGAAAGGTAGGCGTTCGTGTGGTGAAAATTTATGTTCGGATCGTTGGTGATCGGATTGGCCATACCAGCCAATGTACTGGCACAGAAGGTGAGGCAGGTATTCGTGGATACAATGACGCCTTACCTTTGGTCAATTGCAACTTATCGGTCAATGTAGGTCTGAAGCGATTCAGTCGACTGGGTAGCCCTGCTGATTCAGCTTAACCCCAAGCGCACCGATATCGCCCCTCCCATGATAGCGCCCATGGTTGACATGCCCGGGCGTTGTGACGTATCCTTACGAGCGTTCATCAGATTCCAAGTCTCGTGTCAAGCCGAGGCGAAATTCCAGCGCCGAGTGATCGCACTTTCCTAGTCGAAGATGCTTCATACAATCTTCCTCTGGGTGCCCACCTTCAAAGCAAGCATCCGGAAGACTGGACCCAACTCGCTGAACTCGATGACGTTTATACAGGATATACATCTAATCTGCGATAACGATACTTGCCTTCCCGTTATCCCTCCGAGCCTTGCGAAAAAGGACTAGTCCCATCCCACGCCGGCTCAATATCTGTGTTGATCAAATTTAGAACTGACCGATGTCCGAACTGGGCTAAGGTACACCAGATATGATATTCTCAGCAGGCCTCGTGCCGCAGCAAAGTCGTGTGCAAGTCTAGAATCCAATACCGTATATAAAGGTAAAACAACCCTTACATCGCCTCAGACACCTTGGTGTACGCCTTTGACCACAACCACTGACAAGATGAAGCTCGCCATCGTCTCTGTTCTTATCGGGCTTGCCTCCCTTGTCAGTGCTCTCCCGTAAGTTCATTCTTGGAATGCCATCGTCAAATGCTTATCGACGCGTTCGTAGGGCTCCAGATTTGCCAACACCCTTGCCTGGTGTAACGGTTACCCAGTGTTATGATATCGTCTCAACACTGGATGGTGGTGTCATCGAGACTCCCGTTGCGTGAGTGTTCCTCCTTGTACTCAGTCAAGTGACAGCACTCATCCCAAGTATACCCTAACAGGTCAAGCGTTGAATATGGGATAGTCGACCCGAACAACCCTCCCTCCGGCGTGCAGTGTTGGGAACTCTTCCAGTCTGGTGGTGGTATCGAGGCTGTACCTCTGTACGTTGTTCCCCTTGCGCTATACCATTCACTTTCTCACTGGTCTTACGCGTTTCACAGTCCCACAGGCCCGGTCGTGGTGGTGGGGACCGCATCCAACCATAATAATGACGTCATTCGCACTGCTGTTCCCATCATCGCTGCTGTCGTTGGCCTTTTGATCCTGATCGGAGTAAGAGCGCTGCACCGTTGACCAGGCTACAAGCTGATATTCGCACTCTTCTAGGGATCCATATTGTTCATGCGTCTGCGTGCGCGCAAGCAAATCAAATCCACTCGTAGATGGACGAACAGACCTGGTGGATGGATTGATCAAAAAGTGTAAGTGGTTCAACTACGCCACATCAAATGCGCTTTGATTTAATACGACTCGGGTTTACAGTTCTGAACCCCAACCAATGGAACTTAGTCCAACATCCTCAAAGTTTAAGACGGGAGTCGCCCCAGAAAAGTAAGACTTTAGGATACGAACTTTATGACTGGCAATGTGGTGTACAACCTTCATCTGTAACTTGGTGTATTTATATAGTGTATATTGGTAGATCTGCAATGGAATCATGATGCATGAGCTTCGGAAACCTGGGAGATGGGAAGCAACTAACCTACTGGTGTGATATTCTGGGCGGGGATCGGTTCCGATACGGACACCCACTCAAGCTTTTACGCAACGCGGTCTCTTCGACACCCCAGAGCTCACACACAGGCTACCGGTCACCCTTCGCCGACTTTTTCTACGGCGAGACCTTTCGCGGTCGTGTGAGATATATTCTGGAACTTGGGCGACGCTGGTTAAACAAAAGTGTCAGGACGTATGAATCGAAGTGAAGTAGAATAGACGAACTCCATGGTCGACCTCCACAGAAAAAGGAAGGCGAGCTTTGCTGGACGGAGGTCCAAAATCGGCCGTGATGGTACATCCCTTTGGGGATACGGGTCAGCCACTGGAAACAAAAGAAGTTGCACTCGAAACATACCGTAAAGCGTACCACGAGCTGCTGCCTCGAGGAAAGTTTCTAATTATAACAGGCCACCGACATGCCGCAGCATATAAGGAATGATCCACGTCGACCATAAATACTTTAAGCTTTCCATCTTCTCGTCCCTTTCCCGCAGATGCGACCGGTGGACCACCGAACCCCGAGCCTAAGAATCAAAGTTATGGAGTTAGCATGTGCCTTTGTTGTGAATCCCGAAGAACCTACCCAACGGTATGAGTAGCCGGCGGAACGAGACCGATGTTTCCCCGAGTAGCCTCAGGTTAAAACGTCCAGCGGTGGGGTACAGTATGCACACCCAAACGTCTCCTTCTACTACCGTCCACGAGAACCCTCCCATGTCACGCAAGCACTACTGAAGGACGTGAGGATACCACAGTTATTTTTGGGATTACAACGTACTGCGCTCGGGATCATGAGAATCCATTGAACCCGATTCTATGCCTCGTTCTCGTTATCATAGGAGTGACACTTGGGTAGGTCCTTCTGTATGTGCTATCAAAAAGTTCGTGGGTACAATGGAAGCACCAAACGTGACGTGGACGTACCGAAGATCCCACAACTACAGTATCTGCCCTTCGATTCACATCTAACGACACCACCACCAGGCCGATTCCATGGCTCCATAACGTTTTTCATCGTACCGCCAATTGCTTTCGTTGAGGTACAATCGGGTTGAGTTAATCTATCTGTTTTATAACTCTATCGAGAGCTTAACAATCCGGTCGATTTGGAAAATGAAAATGGAAGGTAACTTACCGCTTTCGAGGTTGTATCTGAGATAAAGATTTCATTGCACAGGTAGAGTTTTTGAAAGGAGGAGAGAGGTTGAGTCTAAATGAACCGTAGATGCAGCTCCAGCGCAACCACGTTCTGACGTGCCGGGGTAAGAGAGTGAAGAAGACCCCAGTCGAATCACTTACCCTGCTTTGGCGTAAATATACCATGGACCTTGGGTAAAGACACGAAGAGAACAAAAAAGCATGTTGATGCTTAGCGCTTATCGTTGTCAACGTGGAGCACGGCCTACACCAGCCCAAGGCGCACCAACTCATGGACCGTTCTAAGGGTGATGACCCCAAGACATGTCCTGGATCTGGTTGAGCAAAAGGGTTAGGATTTATCAGCGGAGACAGGCTGAAGACGAACTTTCTGTCATGGCCGACCTCCTAAATCCTTGCTCGAAAGGACAGAAAAAGAAGTGCGGGCCAGGGTCGAAGACCGTACAAGTCGTGACGGTGCGTTCCTATCAGAAGGCGCGTCAATAATTGCGAACCAACGAAATTATATTCGAAACTTACGACAAACCCGA